AACTATTTCTTTTTTTTTTCCCTGGGTGAATTTTTTTTTTTAATGTTTTATTGTGAATTATGTGATAGTTTACATGGGAGAACATTAGTTTTACATTCATTCTGTTGTATATCGTTTCATTGCTATGGTTACAATCCCCTCCATGCATCATCAACCAACCAAAGGGTATACACTACAAGCCTGCCCTCCAGTCATCAGCACACAGCCCCTCTCCCTCTCTGTGTCTGAAGTACCCAACTGCTCCATCTCTCCACGTCTTCGTCTCTGCCTCCATCTCAGGCATCACTGCTTCTCAGGGTAGGGTCCCGCTCGCTGTTCTTCTCCCTTGATGGTCCTAGGGACCTCCTTTCCTAGGCTGAAAAGTTAATCACTCCCTTCCTTGCTACAAAATGTCTACCTTTACATTTCCAAACTTCACAAGCAGTCCTGATAAATTATTCACTGTTGTATCACAAAAGACCCATCCGCATTTCATTTCATCAGACCCGCTTAGACAGATTGTATACTACTCAGTGGAGATTCTGCCGTCCTTCACACCCTCTGAATCTATGTTCTCTCTTGAAAGCTTGTAAGCCAGTCACTTCTTGCCTTTGTAGCCCCCCATTTTGGGTAGCCAATGTCCAAGTTGCCCATCCCTGTCTACTCTGTATATGGAGGTGGGTGGGATTGATCTTTGCTGTAAGGATTTGTCAAACTATTTCTTAGACAGCAACTAAATAAGTTATTAAGGAAAGTTTATGACCGGTGGATAAACTTTTGTGTAAACAATTCTGTAAGTTATGTACTTCTGTGGCTAATTTTCAGTTATCAGAAGCCCATGAAAAAGTGGCCTCTCCTTTATAAGGAAACATTCTCCATATTCCCAATCTTTCCTTTTATGGTGCTGAGAGAACCAGTGGGAGACTGTCAGCTGTAATAGGGATGTGTCTTTGTTAGCCACCTTTGAGTCTGATTTATGGTAACCTCAAGTGTGCAGAAAACTGTTCCGTAGGATTTTCTGGACTGTTGACTTTTTGGAAGCAGATCATAAGGCCTTTCTCCTGAGGTGACTCTGGGTAGGTTTGAACAACCTACCTTTCAGCTGGTAGTTTGTACCTGTTTGTGCTATGCAAGGACTCCTGGATGATCATTAGTCAGTCCATAGAGTGTTACCCTGACGGTTAGTGGACATTGATTGGAATTCTAACCTAACCCTTTCTCAGAAGTGGGTTGAGAAAGGAATACTCAAAAAAACTGGGCCACTTGGGTTTATTGACAATAACTAAGCAGTGGAAGCAACCCAAGTATTATGTAGAAACAACCCAGGTATTACCAATGAATGAATAAAATACAGTATATATGCAATGGGATATTATTATTAACTTAAAATAAATATTATTAAGTCTTTTAAAAAATGAATTTCTAATCTTGAATTAATCTTGAAAACATTATGCTGAGTGAGGTAAGTTAGAAACAAGAACAAATATTGTATGAACTCACTAATATGAGAGATCAAGAATTACAAATTCATAGAAGCCAAAGCATTTTAGTAGCTACCAGGAGTGGGTGGGAATGGGAAATGTTGGAGGTATTGCATGATTACTGAGTTTCTGTTAAAGAGGATGGACAAATTTGGAAATATGTCATGGTGGTAATGTACAACGTTAGGAATGTGATTTTTATGACTGAATTGTACATGGAAAACTGGTTGAAATGGTAAACGCTTTGCTCGATGTATTTACCTACAATAAAATAACAAATATTACTTTAAAAAAAAATGAACTAATGGGATTTAAGGGAAAGTTTTTATGTACAGGAGTACTATATCAGAGGTCGCTATAACGTATTTGTACTAAATTTGTTACAACCTCAGAAAACTAAGGAGTAGTTCTGTTATGTCCTATAGGGTCATTATGAGTTGGACTCAGTGGCTGTGGGTTTTTGGGTTATGTTTTTTTTTTTTTTAATTTAAGGTTTTTATTGTGGATTGAGTGAAAGTTTACAGGGCATATTATCAGTTTCACATTCAACAATTCATATAATTTGTTTCATTACATTGATTATAATCCCCTCCATATACCATCAGTTAACAGTATTTCTCTTTATCCACTTTAGCTTTTTTAAAAAAATACACAAACAAAAAAACCCACTCAGGCATATATAATAATTTACATTTCTAAAGGGCACATTCTGCAAG